CCCCCCCCCCCCCCCCCCCCCTTTAGATGCCAACACAAAGCATCCTCTTGGGACCAGATCTCCTCTGTGTTGTGATGTTAACATCTGTGAGAACGTGTCTTTATCTGCAGCACTATACTCTACCCTCTACTTCAGCTCGTCTCCCACGTGACACGCCTCTCTTCAACGCACAGAGCTGTGTTTTCAGAAAGGAATTGTTAGTGTTTTTATGTTTTGTTAGTTGTGTTTATTATTATTATATTAGCTGGATAGCAGACGGGGAACTCCAGCTGTGTAGAATACAAACATCAGGACGTACAACTGTCTCCTGTTTGTGTAAAAGCTGCAAAACGATCGCTAGCAAACGTCCTGAGACACAATTACAGTTTACATTCAGAGGTTTGTAAAACATTCTGCAAACTATTGTCTGCGTCTGCCTGCAGCTCGGCCTCTCGTGTCACTGGTTTACAGTGATGAGAGACGTCTGTAGATGTGCACCAAGGAGAGGACTCCTCCTGCTGGACTTAAAACTGCTTCCTGTTCGCTGCATCACACTAATCTGTTCAAACCACAGGTCATATAAATCATGCTGATTGATTACTAACTCATCTGTGTTTTTCTATGAACGTGAAGCCCTTGTGCTTATTAACTCTTTTCTGTTACTCTGTGAAGAAGATCCTCCCTACACTGGGCTTTACTGTCTTCATGTTGTGTTCATGGGAAATAAAATCACTTCTGCCTCTCTGCGTCTACTGTTTGATTCCCTATTCTATAGCTTTACTAGTCGTACATATTTTAATGTAGCATTTATTATGGCTAAAAAAAGAGCAAATTCCTGTTGAACTGAGTTAAGTTGGTGTTTGTCTGTGTGCATGTTTATCTGAATACCAAATGAGAGACTGAGCAGCTTTATGTTTCATCAGTAGACATGAATAAACGTCACAGGCAGCTCGGTATGCAAACATGTAATGTGTTGCATCAGATATGCACGTTTGCATATTCAAGTCATCTCTCTCTCTCTCTCTCTCTCGTCCCGACTGAAAGTGTATGAAAGCTGAATGCATGTTCTCTCTGCTCGCTCACTCTCACCTGCAGGAGTGAAGATGTTCAGGTTGCACAAAAACTTGATGGTTTGACCACCAGGAGGCGCTGTGAGATCAGCATGTGCTCACTTTGATGAGAGCTTTTTATTGTTTTGTTTCATGCAGCCTCTTTCAGCTTCCCTGAAGAGCTCAATGACTTGTTTACTTTCTCATACAGTTGGTAAGAATAATATATTTAGTGGAGCAGTTCATCATGCTGGTGATCCTCACAAGTCAAAAAAACATGGCTGCCTCTGCAGGATGGAGCGGGGGGAATCACTCCTGGAAGAGTTTAATGTTTTAAATCTTCTTGTCAGACACGTCATCGGCTGCCAGGATTCACTAATGAAATGCTAATAACTCAAGTTTCACAGAGGCTGGTGATGTGACCCATGTGACCTGGATTCCTCCTAAAATGAGTGTTTTCATATCTGTTGAAGTCACAAACTGTTATGAGGTCACAAACTTTAATTGGGGGGGAAGATTCTAGTAGCACAGGAAACAGAAAACATACATTACAAAGCACCCTGATATAAGGAAATATACATGAAATATATGTGAAGGTATTCATGTGACAACATCCAATGTTTGGTGATGTATTTCCAATCTCAAAGAAGGTTTGAATTGAGGTTTATGTTATATATAGAGAATGAGCTAAAATGTGCAAAACCACCTTTAATATTGAGTGGAACCATAAATAACCCAAACAGTTTGCAGATTAAAGCTGTATTTACCTTAATCTTTAGTCTCAATGATTTAATAAATGTATGTGATTTCCACTGCTTGCACCATTCAGTACAATAACTCAGAGAGCCAATGCAACACTGAACATTTGTATTTAAACTGCCTGTGATGTACTTTTATGTTTGAATCTGCTGTTTGTGCAGAAGCTTGTGAAAGTTTGAGGTTGATTTCAGGAGCTCTCTTGGTGCATGGCGGTGTTCGGACGTGAGTAATTGGCTTTTTTTTTATTGGAGCGAACCAGTGCTATGCTAACTCTCTGTTGCACTACTAACACACTTAATCCCTGCAACACTTTAAGCGCCCTGAACGCCTCAAGTTGAAGTAAATGGAGTTCAGTGCGGAAAAGCTCCAAAAGTCATCAGCGTTATTTATTTCATTGTGGTGACTGTCGCTGTGTTTCCTTTTCTATGTGTTATGTTATTGAGAAAACAGCCGGAGGGAGTTCAGTCCGGTCTTTGGGATTCCGGGTAAATTGTTTTCATTAATTCAAACATAGACTAATGAACTATTAGGTGGCGTACAGTTCTTGGTTTGTGTTAAGCTAACGTTAGCGCTCGTTCGGTGGTTGCTTTGTAATTATTTTACAGCTGGAGAAGCCTTCGTAGGCGCTGCAGAGGGCAAAGAGTCCCTCGCTGGCCCCCTCAGTCTGAACCAGCCACTGAGGGGAACAGAGGCTCATTGTGTACAACACAAACTCCACAGATAACAGGGTTGTCAGTACAGTCACTGGATTCCTCATATTACCCTCCCACACACACATAAACACTGTCTCTTCACATAATCCACAGAAAGCTGCTGCGACTGAGTCACTCACCATGTAACTGGGATATATATATATATATATATATATATATATATATATATATATATATATATATAT